TGAAAAAGATGTTTGTAGAAAGGAGATAAAATGAAATGAACACTGATGCCTTTCCAAATTTAGTATTTTTTTTCTTTATGTTAGGTTTTGTAATAAAAGCTATACAAGACATAATTTAGAAAAGGTAATTTATACTTCTATAAGAATATTTTGTTACATAATATTTTTATAAATATTGACAAATTGTCCCTTGGCTTTGACCAAGTATTGAATTTGTGACCCCTTGTGTTTGCTTCTCCTGGTCTAGATTGTATAAGTGGGGTGCTGTGTTAAAGGTTATAAACAATATCCTACCTGTTGTAGATTGCCAGTTGTCTAATTAATAAGTTATCTTCAACAGGTAAGTTATTTACTGCTCATTACGTTTACCTTTCCTGATGAAGAGGACTTTCTGATGTGAAGAGGTTTTTTTGAGTAAAGTTTGACCATGCATGGTGATAGCAGCTCAGAGTTGCCTCTTTTATGTTTGGTTTGTCATCTGAGCTGGGCAACAGCAGGCTCAGGTGACAGACATGACTTATTGAGGTTCATTACAAGCAGCTGAAATGGACTCTCGTGCTATTTTGCACGCATGCATACAAACCATTATACTTCCAATATGACAAATGTGGAGGAAAAAAAAGCTATAAACACACAAACCGTAACATTCATCTACTTGGAATAAGCGGACAAATCCTTTAAAAACATGCAGTAGTTTCTTGTTTGACAGCACAGTGGCCTCTCAGATTGTTGTAACGTGATCGTTCCTGTACTCTGAGCTGAGAGACAGCATGGAAACACTATATTCAAAACATGATCGTCCAGTTGGAGCCCTGTGGGGGGATTATGAATAATCAGGTGCAGGAATCYGGAGGCGAAATAACACCTCTGAGCAGCACTGCCAAGCTGAAAGTGTCAACTGAGACCGTCACTCACACTGTCGCAGTTTACTAGAGCCAGCGTTGAAAAGCTTCTTGGACATTTATGAGATTTTACAAATGGTTTAAAACTATATCAGGGTTATTAATCAAGAGAAGTTATCAAAATATGCCTTTAAACCTTTTAAAACACCTGGTTTGAGCATCAGTGGTACAAGCTGAAGATGAGGTTTTAAAGGTGTGAATGTTTGGAGTCTAGACTTGTCAGAATATTGTACTACTAAGTTTATGTAAATGCCTCATTTGGAGATGGAAATCATTTGAGGAAAATATTTGGTCTTGGGCAGCGTGAGGTGACATTTTTCATGAATTTAATCCTGATCATTTTATTCTGTCCTTTCAGGGAGGGGAGCACTGCTATTACCACGGGCGAGTGCGGGGGTTGCCTGCTTCTTGGATTGCTTTGTCTACCTGTCACGGCCTCCAGTGAGTCGAACATTTTTATTTTAAAATATCAAATTAATTCAAGAACCCTGATGAGACTAAAAAAGATATGTAGTATAATATAACTCTGTTTTTCAGAGGGATGTTTTCTGATGGCAACTTTTCTTATGGGATTGAACCTGTTGACAGTGGAGAAGTAAGTTATGGCTTAAAGTAGACATCATGCAAATCCTCCTTTTTCCCATTTAAATCATTTAGTTAGGGTCTATATAAAGTGGAACTGCGGTGATTTAGTCTGAATTCCTCCTTATTGTAACCCCACAATCCCCTTTTCACCCCTTTTCTGAGATGTCTCAGAACAACTCATTTTGAGGCTGTCTCTTTAAATACAAACGAGGTGCTCACGCCCCCCTCCAACTCTCAGAGCGGTACATTCTAGTTTGACAGAGGGGTTTCAGACTAGAAACTTTTTATTTAAAAATGAATTAAAAGATGTCAACAAGGGAGGACTTGTCCRTCCAGTCTCACATGTTGGAGCCAGAGTCTGACCCAGACGATATATAAAAATCTACACAGCAGCAGGAAATTCTAATTTGCGACACTCCTAACGACTCCAAGTACACAACGAAAATGTATTTAATGGCTAAAAAATGTGGATTTTATGTACTCTGTCCCCTTTTTAACTAATGGTTTTGTTTGGTAAAAACTCATGTCTGTGGGTTTTTTTTTTTTTTTCAAATCCACTAATGAGCAAAAAATGTTTTTTGGGTTTTTCACAAAGCAGCCGCCTCTGCTTTCTCTCTCTGCCTCCACTGTGGATGGCTTCCCGTCTGTCCAGACAGTGTTACTCTATCTCTGAATGGAAATTATCGAGTTGACACAGTCCACCTCCACAGAGAGACACACTCTGTCCCATCTGGAAGAAGACATGTTCTTGCCGATTCAAAATAAATAAATCAATAAATAAAAAAGTTTGCAAAAATTTTCTAAAGCTGTTCTTGTAATGCACATTTCATTTAAAAATACTGAAGAGTTTCAGAGTGACTAAAAGTGTTTTTGAATGGACGAGGCTGAGCTTTTCTCCCATTAAGACCCGCAGCAATCGAAGCACAGCTCAATTACACGGAGAGATGAATCAATAGCCTCTCAGCTTGTCATAAAACCTCTTCACTCTCAAGCTCACTGCTGTGTGTTTCGTCTTTGTTGGGTCTTTTTCATAAAGTATTTATCCCCAGGTCGGGTCAACTACCTTGTCCAGTAGTGTTACCGCCATTATGACAGCTATGTGACTGATTAATTTTGCATTAGAGCACTTTCCTTTCAGCCATCAGTCTTTATTTCAGAAGACAATGTTTTGGTTTTCCTTGTTGCACATTCTTTAAGTTTAGGATGGAAAGAGGATTTTTTTTAACACTAATTTTTATAGAGCTATGTTTGATTCTTATAACAGTATAAAAATCTCATATTTATTTATTTATTTCTTCATGTCTGTTTTGAGTAGAAGGACCACATTGTTTATCGCATTCCCAACATAGACCTCTTCCAACTTTCCTGTCCAGGTAGGAACCTTCACCAGCAACATTTCCTCTCCAGCTGTAAACGTATAGCAACTACATGTTTAATCGTACAAACTTTGTAACTTTGGACTTTATTTGTAAAACTTTGATGTGAATCTTAGTTTCAACTTTATTTGTTTAAAAATAAAAAATAAATGAGGATGGGTTTTGTTTGGGTTGCCTGTTTCTTGTTTTTAGACATATTTAGCTTTATCCTTGACGCTGAGCTAAGAAAAGATGTTCTGCATTACAAGGTTGTTTGGTTGAATTTAGTTCTTTTTTTAGACACACTTTCTCTCAAATTCTTCTTCTGTCCTCTTCATCCTTCCTAAATGTCTCACTTAGCTGTATCTCCTTTTGTCCTTAAAGACTCTTGTACTCYCCACTAATTATTCTCCCCCGCCTTCCTTTCAACTCGCTGCCTCTTCACCCCTGCCACCCTCTTTTCCTGCTCTTCCCTCCACTAGCTGTGATATCGATCTCTTCTGCAAATGAAAGGACTAAAATACAGAGCTGCATTCATCCCTGGACTGATGACTAGTCACTTTTCTGTTGGACATTTTTTTCCTGTGTGTGTGTATTGTAGGCTGCTTCTTGAACAACTCTGAGCCTGAAGGGGAAACAGATGGCCACAGTAAAAAAGACAACGACCTAAAGGATGGAGACAGTGGGTCTGCTGAAGACAAACACGTTTTTAAAGTCCTGAGGCGCTCGAAACGACAAGTTAGTGTTTTATCCACAATGATAGCTGAACTAAAATGGTAAATGCATATTGTGCAACAGTAAAATAAATGGCAATAGAGATGGCGTTAGTCTGTAAATGTATGCTGATGTGTTAATTTAGTGGTCTAGATGCAGTCCTCAAAGGTCTGTTCATAAATTGGGCTAGAAGAACCTTTTTTTATTTAGGCTAAGACTTTGAAATTTCCTCTCTTTTTGTCTTGTGCTACTTTTAACTTCTAGCTTTCATTTATGCTAATTCAGCTAGTTTTTAGCCAATTTTAGCTTTTATCCAACTTTTGAGTACTTGTGGCTTCCAGCTAGTGTTAATTTCACATTGTATTTTGCTAAAATTTATGGAACAATTTCTCTAGTTTAAAACAAGCATTTGACTCTATAAATGTAATCAGCCAGTAGCTGATAAATGATCAGTTTTCTAGTGTTGTAGTACTTGAGACCGGTCTTGGTCTTAAGACCACTTTTTGATGGTCTTGGTCTTGTCTCGGATTCAACAGCATTTGTACTTGGTCTTGTCTCGGACATTGAGGACTCAAAATTTTATTTTAAGACCACAACTGTGAAAATATCACCAAATAGCCAGATTATTGTCCAATTTATTAGTTAAAATTATTGCTTTCATTAGATTTAAAATGTAGCTACTGATTCAAATCCAAACCTGATACACTGCTTTTATGTATTTTTGTGAGACAGTAACATTAAACGTTTATCGTCACTAACATTTTTTTGTCACTTCAGTAGAAAACGAAACCAAATATTAGTTTATTTAGTTTAGTTATTTCTTCATCATCAGTGACTTTTTTTAAGTGAAGAGAAAATAGAGACAGAGAGAAAAACAGAGAGAGAAGTAATTAGAAAGATAGAAAGATTGAAATGGCGATTAGAAGTATACAGTATTAAATATACACCAACAAAACACAGGACCACACACCCAACATCTGTCCGCTCACCTTAAAAATAAATGGATAAATACATGGAGGACATATATAAATATATACACATACCCATACATATATAAAGATATACATACATACATGCCTACATTCATAAATATTGTCTGTATATACACACAGACATATACACTCACCGGCCACTTTATTAGGTACACCTGTCCAACTGCTCGTTAAC